ATTGTTAATAATTTGATGACTCATCAAAAAATATATATATTAAATTATACATGTGAAACATAATTGAGACTCTGAATCAAACAAATATATAAATACCCCCATCTTTCAATGCAATCCCACACACAACTCTCACTCCCTCACTCCCTCACCATCTCTCTCTCTCCTCTTCCTAACCTAACAAGCCATGGCTAAGATCGTTCTTCTGCTACTATATATGGCAGCGACGGTGGCCGTGGTGGTGGCGGAACTTCAACGCTTTGAACATCCGGTGAAATCCGACGGATCTCTTAGCTTTTTGGTTGTTGGTGACTGGGGGAGGAGAGGGCTCTACAACCAGTCCAACGTCGCTTATCAGGTAATTTTGTTTCTGTTAATCACAATCTAAGTATTAAATCACTAAATTTTAACTTCAATTTCCTTCATGGATCGATCGAGCACTAGAAATTTCCACTCGCGATTCTAAATCGTATTCAATGCGTTTAGACTCGGTTGCTGCTACCAACTTAGAAACAGGCAACCGGAATTTTCATCGTCTGGCTTACGTTCAGATCAAATTCCTTATGTATGTCCGATCAAAAGTATAGATCAGAGGATTATTGTATGTATATTTTGATAGATGATCATTGAAAAAGACGAAAAACTGATTGAATTAGGTTTTGTAGGATCGATTTACGTGTAAAATCTCTTTAACGATATATAGAATGCCGTATTCGTTTGATTACCGAAAAGTTAATTAATCCTTTAATTACATATGTTCTATCCTCTGTCTTATATGTTAACCCCATCGTTGAAGAATTTGGTGAATATATATGATTCAACTTAAAACGTTGTATTTAATTTGAAAATAGAGTAAACAATAATTCTACTCTTCCAACATTTTATGTTTCAGTTTTATCGATAAATGTTGTAGATGTATATATCAACAATTAATCTTTGTAATTACGTTATTCATCTAATTATAACCATAAGGATGGTGCCCAATTGGTTTAAGCTTGAGCTTCAAAGGTCAAAAGCGTATTCTAGGTTCGAATCCACAGGTGAATAAAAAATCTTCTTGTGACCACATAGGTTTAAATGCGATAGCTTCAGATCATCTGTAAAGCAGATGGTCATCGTGGAATTAGTGGACTCGCATAACAGCTTGAATATACATGTTAATAAAAAAAACTATGCATACATATATAGATCCAAAAGTGTAAATTTTATTGTAAATTATATTTTTGGTGTCTTTGTTAGGAGGAAATTATTATAGTTTATTTATTACATTTTCGATAATTATAGTTTCAGTTTTATCACAAATTTGGTCCATGCATCACAAGTGATTAGTATTTGTCGGTTATGTAAAAGTACTTCTGTAGTAACGTTTATGTGTGATATATATGATAAACTTTTACCCGTAATTCTAAATTTCATAAAAAGAATTAAAAGCAGATGATGGATGGCTTTCGACATATAATTCTGAGTGAAATCGTTCGTGTAAATACAAAATGAGCCAAAAAGAAATACCCCTCGCAAGCTCACACCTTGGACGTAGCTTTCATGTGACATCAGCTGAAATTGTCGATTAAAAATTAATATTATATTTTTTGAAATAAACAAATTTATCTTCCTTCATTCGTTGGAGATTTGTGGTCCTACCATGGGGCATAATGGGCAACACAACTCATGCAGATATGAATGTCAATTTAGTATTATTGAAAGTGACAAATAGAGATGTTGTAATACATCAAAAAATAATGTGTTATCTTATAACATTTTAATAATGTTTGAATCAGATGGGGGACGTGGGGGAGAAAATGGACGTGGACTTCATTGTATCCACGGGTGACAATTTTTACGATAGTGGATTAATTGACGAAGATGATCCGGCGTTTTTTGAGTCCTTCACTGTTGTATATACCGCCCCAAGCTTACAAAAGCAATGGTACTCTGGTAAGTACAAACCTTTCAAGAGGTTGTTTGGGATTGCTTATAAAATAACTTATTGACTGATTCCGGTATGACATCGATAATAAGCACTTTTGAGTTTTGAGTGTTTGGATAAACAGCTTATGTCGGTGCCAAACCAGTGATAAGGAGTTTTTGAAGAAGTTAAATTATTCTAACTTATAATAAGTTGATAAACACTTTTGTAGAAAAACATAAGTTGTTTCAAATAAGCAATCCCAAACACCCACTAAATCTACTTTTAAAAACTCTTCATAATATATCGTAATAATCGATCCTGTATAATGGATACAAATGTAGATCCGGCTTCTTATAAGTTTAATGTTGTGGTTTACTAAGAGCATCTATAGCAGCTAAAATATGAATTTTGATGGTTTTAAAGGTTTTTTTTCTCTCCGATGACTATGTTATGATAGATGTTAAGATAGGGAAAAGAAGAAAAATAAGGTGTGAATCTTTAAATTTTGAAGAAATCTGTACGTGTATTTTCAACAACTATGTTATGATTTTTTACTAGAATGAAAAATCAAAAGTTAAAATTTATATAAAAAAATTAAATTCAATAGCTACTTTATTTTAATAATTCTGTCATTAACTATATTATTAAAATATCTAATAGATTTAATAAAATATTATTTTTGTTCCATAAACATTTATTTCCAACACATCTTATTGGCGTGAAATAATTAACATACCATTTCTCTCTTTTATATAGAATTTTAGAGATTACACTAAACTTAGGGGTCGTTTACCCAAATGCTTACCCGGTAAGTGCTTACAGTAAGAGTCAACACTATAATTTATTTTATCGGATAAAATTGTAGTACATCAAAACGTATCTTATACAACAATTTACCTGATAAGCTCTAACCCGAGTAAGAGTAGTGACCCTCACTTACCGGGTAAGACTCTCAATCCTTATCATCGCTCTTACCGGGTAAGATTATTGGCTTTTGCCATGCTCATCCAGTGAGAAAAATTGCCCGGTAAGTACTCACCGGGTAAGCCTTAGAGATTTTCATATTTTCTTTCTTCATTTTTCTATTTTACCATACAATATAGTATAGTTATTGGAGCACAAAACTCTAATAAATAACCAAAAATTCTTTTATAACATAGTTGTTGAATTAGAATACGCTCTAAAACCGAATGTTAATTTTAGATAGATAAATAATAATTTAAACTTTCTTAAAAATTAAATGTTGAAGATGGAAAAATAATATTTTATCAAACGTATTTTAATAAAACAATTGATGTTAAAATCTTAAAAATAATTAAAATTTCTACCATTATTTTAATTTGATTGATTTAATTTTTGCAGTATTGGGTAACCATGACTACAGGGGTAATGTCTTGGCACAATTTAGCCCAGCCCTCAAACAAAGAGATAGCAAATGGTTTTGCCTTAGATCTTTTATCCTCCATGCTGGTATTTTTCAATATTATTTATTTAATAAAAATAAAAATATTCTATTTATTTTTATTCAAAATTTTTGAATTTTAATGCAGGACACGTGGATTTTTTCTTTGTGGATACAACACCTTTCCAAGATAAATATTTTTCAGAAATAGATCAGGAATATGACTGGAGAGGTGTTCTTCCTCGAGAGAACTATCTTTCGGATCTTTTAAAGGTGAGACCTTTATTCCATCTTTATGGGGGGCAAAATAGTCCATAAATATAATAAAAATTAGTTATAGTTACAAAATACAGTATAAAATATTAATAAATAAAATCCAATTTTAACGATTTACGGTTAAAGTTTTTATGTTTCATCATTATTAATTAATCATTAGATATCAAATTTAAGTTTCGATAAGCTATTGTAGCTTCTCAGTTTTCTAGTGATGATCCTTATGATGACACTTAGTTTTCCCTTGATGATCCCTATGATGACACATCCTGCGATTATCCCTATGATGACACACTCAGACGATCCTTGTGATGATGGCACATGTCGAATCACAACTGTGACACCATTTTTATGTTACTTATTGGTATTTGGACTCGTTTGTGCGCTCCTCGACTAATCTCATTGAATCCTGGAGAACATTCAAAGAAATCCCCATTGCCCTTGAAAGGACTCGAGTCGGTGACATCTGGAGCACGAGAGCTCCAGTGAACTAACCTCAAAGTCGTGAACATTGAGCTGTGAAACGGGACTGCCTTAGCCTCTAGGGGGTGTATATATATAGGGGGTCATGTTCCATACCCGTCCACAATATATCTAATCAACCCGTCGTATCTTATCTCCCAAAATATAAATTGTTCATCCATGATTACTTCATCTTATATCTCTTCTAGTCTAACCTATATTTTGAACTTATGCTGAAAATAGCAACATACATTTAACCTAGTACTTTAATTCATTACACAACAAAGGGCATTCATGGATAGGCTATTTATACATATATGGTAGAGGGGCGGTTCATGATCATCTATCATAGAAATGAAATAAACAAATATTTTAACAATTATCAACTCGATCTTGTCACCCCTGACAACAAACATGCATGAACCATTTCACGAATTAAGTATTTGTCCGGATAATCCAAGGTCTCCATAGTTATCTCGTGGCCTTCCGGTTGAAAACAATGTCAATGAAGACGTGGTGCTCACATTCCCTCTGGTAGCATAGAATTACAAAAGCCATGGCAAAACCCCTTCTTACTATTCCTCGATAAAGAGAAATATGACCCACAGTCGTTCTCGCGCACACACACACACACACACACACACACACACATATATATATATATATATATATATATATATATATATATATTTTCTTACTATTAAATAGTGTCTATAAAATAGGTCCCGAAAGATTCATAGTGAATTTAGATGGAAGCTCCTCTTGCAGCAATAACGTGTTGGTCTAGTCACCACCGGAACCATAAAGGACTACCTAAACTGATTTGTTTTTGCCAATAAGCTCCAATTATATCTTAAGTATTACAAAAGAAGATTTTTCCATCGAAATTTCCTATGGAATACAAATGGATTTTTTTACCCATGGTGGTCGATTTGTCGGTGATTACTTTCCGACAGATTACCGACGTATATTTCCGTCGGTAAAACCTCTTTATTTTGTTTTATAGTGATTCCTTTTTGAATTTTTGCATTGTATATAAAAAAAAGTTAAATTTAAATGAAATACAGTTATTGAGTTTTGTTTGGTTGATACACAGGACGTGGATGCAGCACTAAAAGGATCAAGTGCCAAATGGAAAATAGTGGTAGGGCATCATACCATATTTAGTGCTGGTCACCATGGCAATACAGAAGAGCTCGTGGACAAACTTTTGCCCATTCTTGAGGTACATATATACATATATATATATCCTAATCCTATATATAAAACGACAAACTTATTCGAAAAAGCGACATTTTGATTTCTTGTTTTTAAGGAAATTAAAATCAATGGATTCTTCTGAATTCAAAAACATGTGAGTTTCTATTATCGGCCAACGTCATAAATGTGTGCTTTTTCTTTATCTGATATATAAAAAATGACTTTCCGAATGATGTAAAATGACCATTTGTAGGCAAACAAGGTGAATCTGTACATAAACGGACATGACCATTGCTTGGAGCATATCACTAGTCCAAACAGGTAATCTTGCTTTCTTTCTTTTTTTCCGTTTAGTTTACACCATTAGAAAGACTAAAGTATATAGACAAATAGACTTTATAACTATTGATGTCGTCATGTCGAAGTTATCAGCTTATGTTATAACTATTGATCTAGTGTGTAAATGCAACACTAAAATCAATCGAGATTGACAAAACCCATTTATCATATAAAATAAACACAGTTTGGAAAGCATTAAACATAGAAAAAAAACCATGGCGAAATTATATAAAACTTAGGGGTGTTCACGGTCCGGTTTGAGCGGTTTAACCCCTCAGACCACAAACGAAACCATAATGGCGGTTTATAAAAATTTTAAACCGAACGATTTGACATCAAGTACTCAGACCGGTCAAACCAGACCACGAAAAAGTGGTACCGGTTTACGAGGTTTGGGCCTTTAATGGACTTTAAATATTAAACTTAAACAACATATATAATTTTTAATTTTAGATTAAATATCCATTTTGATTATGTTAGATGGTAGGTTTTATGTTGAGTTTAGGGATATACTTGGGTCATAACTCATAAGTTAAAAAAGTTAGGCTCGCTAATACTAAAATAAATAATATATATATATATATATGGTGGTCGGTTTGGTCCAAACCGCCCAAAAAAGGTTCCAGACCATAGACCAGACTGTCGGTTTTGCTATTTTACAAACCAAACCGTCAGACCGTTCAAACCGCCAAAAGCGATCCGGTTTGAGCGGTATAAAGGTTTTTTTGAACACCCCTAATAAAAATGACAAATTTCGTCAATTTTGAAATAACCTTTTTTTAGTATGAGAAATCTAATTAATTTCCATGCATGCACAGTCAGCTGCAGTTTCTAACAAGTGGAGGCGGCTCAAAGGCATGGCGTGGCGCTGTTAAGCCATTTAACCTTGATGCAATGAAGTTCTATTATGATGGCCAAGGTTTCATGGCGGCTGAAATAACTGAAAATGAAGCTTATGTGGCTTTTTATGATATATTTGGCAACATGCTACACAAATGGAGTAGCTACGAACTCACACATACTGCTTCCTAATGAGATTTATGTATTTATAACTGTGAGTATTTGCATCAGTTTGTATAATTAAATGAGGTCTATAAATAGTAGTAATTTATGGGCTAAAATGTATTGGATTTTATTGTAAATCAGTATGAATTTGTGTATCATGTTTCAGTTTGTGAAAAAATGTTTCTTCATCACTCATCTAAATATCTAATCATCGAGTAATCTAAGAGATGTTTGATAGTTGCTGAATGGTTTGGTGTAAAATGATTAAGTGGTCAGAATTATTAAAAGACTCTCATAATATAGTGCAAAATGAAATATAATTGTTTGGTAATTATTTACAATAAAATTATGGCCTTTAATGATTAAGGGAGGCCCATGATACAAAATCATTTAGAGGGTTTTAAAATCATTAAGAGACAGACTTTTTTTTTATCAAACAAGATCAATCTCTTAATGAAACTATTAAGAGGTAAACAAACAACCATTAGCATGGTTATATAGATGTACTGTATACACCAAAGATTATGATACAAGAATGTTCTCAAGAAATTTACGTTCTACTGGCTAAACATTGGGTACTACGGTTATTAGAAAAAAGAATAGCTTTAACAAAATTAATGGTATTAATATGTTCCGGGGTCGTTTACTAAACGCTTACTTGGTAAGTGCTTACTAAATAAATTTTTTTAGCGGAAGAACATGGCAAAGGCCAAAAATCTTACCTGATAAAAGCAATGATAAGGATGGAGAGTCTTACCCGATAAGTGAAGATTACGACTTTTACCCAGTTAAGCGCTTACGCGGTAAATTGTTGCATTCAATACGTTTTGATGTATTAAAATCTTACTCATCAAAATAAATTATAATGTTGACTCTTATAGATAAGCAATTACCGGGTAAGCATTTGGGTAAACAACCCCTAACTTAAGTCATGTTCAACAACTATAGATAAGGTTTATTTTTTGAACTTCTTGAATTAAAAAAATAGTTTATAAGCTAGTTTATTGGATTTTTTTTTCTTTGTCTTCAATTTTTCCCAAGATTATTTATTGGGTCTTTTTTTTATTTTTAATCTTATAATTTATTAGTCAACAAATAACTTATTAATCAATAATTACAAATTCAACCATCAATTAATTTACAAGTGTAATGACCCAAAAGTCTGAAACATAGGTAAATAAAATAAAGTACCATACTTAGTGAAAATTCGCCGCAACATAAGTCTAAACTTATCTATTACGGGTTTACAAATATTTAAACCGTCTTGAACGGCTAAATTTATTATATGGGCACAACAACGTGTATGAAATAATTTTCCGTCTGAAATAGGTGTCAAATGACAGTTTAATTTTTCCGCACAAGCATTGTTATTACTAGCGTTATCAAACGAAATACTAATTATTTTCGCGGTTAAATTATAAAATACAAGGTTTTTTTTAATAATCGAATATTGACGTGCACCCGAATGTGGCGCACCGAACGGTTCAAACGCGATTACACGTTTGAATAATTGCCATGTGTTAGGGTCAACCCAATGTGCCTTTATGCATATATAAGAAACCGACAATCCGTATGGTGCGCTCCATACATCACACGTTAAAGAAATATTGTTAGGCAAAGAAGAAAACATTTGTTGCATTTCGTCTTTGGCAATTGTCCACATTTTTATAGCATCACGTCTAAGGGTTTGATGACTTACCGGCTTGTATCGGTGGTTGTAGCGTCTTTTGAATCATCTTCGTAACGTGAGGGTTGTCGAAGTGTCCAAAAGCCAAACCGACTTGAATGACACATTGTGTAGTCATTTGTCGGTTCAAATCGGCATCGTAGTTTCATATTTGACTTTGTGTGTCAAGTATCGGTTGGCTCGAATCACCCCCCAACCTCAACCCCGGGCACGATATTTCGGTGTGCCTCCTTAACGTAGATTTTCCTTCTGCCGTAAGGAGAGTTTGACACATTTTGCATTGTGTCTTTCGTTTCCCGGTTGTGAGAACCACCAAGTTGTAGTGATTCCAAATCTCGGACTTTCGTCCGTGTTCGGCGAGAACTTGGGCAATTTGTTCGTTTGAGGGTTGTTCACCGGCCATTTTGTAAATCGTAAGTAAAAGAGAGAAATAAACGAGAATTGTGAAGTGGAAACGAGAAATTAATACGTAACGAATTCAAAAAATGAAGCGAAAAACCGAGAATTGATAGCGTTTTTTGCGTTTTTGAAGATGAGATGAGTTGGTAACAAACTAAGGAACTCCCATCTCTATTTATACATGTTTTGGTAGCTAGAAAGATGAAAAAAGGGGTCATAAGAAGGCTCCAACGGCTAGTTTGACTAAATCTAACGGCTCCTTTGACTTCCAACGGCTAGTTTGACTATTTTGACTTTTGTTGACTTTTGTTGACTTTTTCGTTGACCGGGCCGGGCCGGGCCCTTAACCGGTTACGTAACCGGTTCCGGTCCAAGAATTCTCTAAAAAGTCCAACCGGTTCGTAACCACCGGTCCACAACCGGTTACTACCGGTCCCGGTTCGGTTACGGGCTTCAGGCGGTCTCGGTTACGGGCCTCCGTCAGTTACGGGTCGGGTCGGTTACGGATGGCCATCTCTATTCCAAAGTGCAACAATTCAAGCGTAATTAGTACATCTCAATAGTTTGGAGCGGGTAAACACATCCATAACTGAGAATTATTTAAAACTAAGGTAATTAAGGGGCCGTTTACCTAAACACTTACCCGGTAAGTGTTTACTGGTAAATTTCAATACTATCGTTTACTTATCGGGCAAAATTTTATTCACCAAAATGCATCGTATGCAACAATTTATCCCGGTAAGCGCTGACCATGGTAAGAGTTGTCGCCCTCACTTACCGAGTAAGACGCTTGATTCTTGTATTTGCTCTTATTGGGTAAGATTTTTAGTCCTTGCCATATTCATCTTATAAAGTAATATGACTTGATAAACGCTTACCCTGGTAAGCGTTTGGTAAACGGCACCTAAGCTTCATCTTCTAACTCTAGTCTTCTCTAGCTCCTCTCACATCTTCCCTTTGCCTTTAGAAGAGGTTTCTACAAACACCTGCCTGAAAATGGTTTAAGTTTGAAAAGCGAGGGTTAGACCAAAAGGTCTAGTGAATCCCTTAACGGATATGCAACATAATCATACGAAATAAAAAACAGTTCGCCAAAAAGGCCCACAATATCCAAATATTTTAAAAACCACAAGACCCCAAGTTTGGCATAGTGTTGATAGACCGATGTCACTCCGTTGTGACATGATAATCAAGATCCAAGAAGATGTCCATCCAGTTTATGCATAAAACGAATTCATGGCCATGGAATAAATAACTCCCAAGGGATTCCACTATCCCAATGTATACTATTCTCACTGTGCATGCTCAAATATGTATCCATAACTCATATCACATATGATAAACAATGTCTTAGCAAATGATCATTTGAATATCATGACATAAAAACCATAATCAGAGCTTTAAAGACATTATTAAACAATTCCACATTTAGAAAAAGAGTAAAGGAACTCACCGGAGGTTTAGCACACCGCCACAACTCCTAATGGCTAATTAAGCTCAAACTGAACACCTGAATTAGACGACACAGGAATGGTGTTAAACCATCTTAAATATCTCTAAAGCCATCTTTATTGATTCCTAAGACAATCCCCTAATCACCGCCTTGTACCTACCCTAATTCGAGAAACGACACAAAATCGAAGTAGCACAAAACAGTGCCAAATGCAAACCCAATGTGTAACACCGCAAACCACATTTGCATAAAATCCACATATTCCATATAATCATGAAGTGCAAATATTACACATTAGTCCCAATATATACAAATTGTCACATACAGAAGTAGCTACAAACTTTTTGCTCATATAAAGTACATGACTTGTATATAACAAATTCTCAAGTACATACACATAATCAGCTTCCCAAAAATCACATGTAAAGCATTAAAAAATTTCTTCACATCTTTCCTTTTCATTGACCTTCCACATGTGCCCGACCTATGCACATTTTTAAAAAATAAAATGAGGATTAGACCATAAGGTGTAGTGAGTAATCCTCTTGATTTCTATTACAGGGTGAAAATCACCAAAATAATTTTGAAAAACTAGTATTTTCAGAGATAATATGTAAATATCATTTATTTTAACAAACCTTCATTTGTCGCATCATATAGATGAGACAACATCATTTCATCGCATCAAACATATAGTGTACCAACTCGTCGCGTCTCATTGATGTAATAACATATTTTTGTTGCATCAAACATATCGAGTTTGAGAGAGAGAGAGAGAGAGATGGATTTTACTCTTATGATATTTTATATATATATATATATATATATATATATATATATATATATATATATAATGATTAAGAGTTTAGGAGTTTGACGGTTTTAACCCTTCAACAATTACTTATTGTTATTTAAATATGGTATAATTAGGGTGAGCATAAAGTACAAACATGTTATGCATAATCCTATCCAGAGTTCACTTAACCCAATTTGTACGAGTTAACGGAACATGAGTATTATATAAAGATTTGTCTTCCAAAGAATAACGAAATATTTATCAATGAAGAATCAGTTACGACTTATTAGAAAACAAAGTTGAATACAAACGAGCGTATTATCATCGAAAAATGAATTTTGCATTTTTAGAGACATGAGAATAACAATTTGAAGAAAAACCGAATCATGTGTTGGAATTATGCATGAAGAGAAAATACACAAGTATTAACCCTAGAATATACCTGATCAAAGATATTACTCGTTTCAGACAAAAATTAAAATGAAAAACATTTAAAATCACACTTCTTAGAATCATAAAATCTTTGAGATTTCAGAAGTGGTTTAAACGTTTAAGAAAAACATTTGAATACATTCAGAAGTTGTCCTTCTTCTAAATATATTAAGATAAAGTTTAAAAATTTATACTTGTGAGATTCAGATCAGAATGATATTTTGATCGTGATGCTCCTCCTTGAATTCAGCTCACACACAAACTTTTTTTGTGACTCCCCCTTGACATGTTCAGAGGATGATCTCTTGTTTATTTGTGTGTACAATGTGGAGGTTGGACATCAGTTTCATTATTCTGATCGTCATACTCATCAACAATAGCTTGTATTTTTTAATATTCATTGTAGGTTCTACATTGTCTTGTATAG